TTATATGCCTCTAAACAAAAGTGAGTTTTGAGAAGGTATTTGGAGGTGGAAAGAAGAACTTCTCCAGTAGAAAAGAGAGTCACAAATGGACAATGCCAAGTCCCTGCTTTATTTAAGGGAGAATAAAACTTTAGTAAATATTATATCAAGGTAAGGAAAATTCTGTCATAGATTGGCGGACACACACATATGGTGTAGGTGGATGGGTGTTCAAGCCTGACATGACTGGCAAAGCAGCACCAGTGACATGAGAGGACATCCACAGTCTATGAAACATCAGGGGCAAAAGGCATAACCTGCTGTTCTCAAAGTGAGAGAAATTGCTGGCAGTTGACCTGAAGGGGACCAGAAGAGCAAACCCAGAAGCTAACCCCAGCTCCCACCATCCATGCAAAACCAGTGAAGACAGTGATTGAAAAATCAGGTAGGTCTTTAGTCCATGCCCCTATTATTGTCAGGAAAAAATCCTTTTCATTTTATAGTAATTAAAATGCTCATAGATATTTTATTAACTCACTCTACAGAGCCACATAAATTCTATAATTCATCCAAGCACTTACAAGTAGTTACTTGGGTTAGGCTGTCAAGACAGAAGTGATTCAAAACCTTGCATACTTAGCTCTTTGGAAGACATATCATTCCCTAACACAATGGTATTAGAAAGGCTGCTGACAGTTAGTGATCAAGAGATTTCATTTTGCTTGTCATATGGTGGGTTGTCAATTCTTCTTTCCCCTTTAGATAAAAGCTTAGTTGCATTAGATTTAAATAATGGTGAAGTTGCAGGTTAACATTTTTCAAAAGTACCAAAGTGACTTCAGTACTTAAATTCTATTTTCAAAATGCTGTAGACACGCAAGAACGTAAGTCTCTACACTAAATGGAACTTAGATATTTTTAAAGAAATTTATGGAAAGGTGGAGAATAAAACCCTAACTCGAGAGGGCTTAAAATTTGTACCCTACTCCAGACCACTGGTTTAAAATAGATAAAGTTTGCAAATTATTGCAATTCTAAGACAAGCTAAAGATTTACATTTCCATTTTGAACATACTTGATTGTTTTCACATCAATGTACCTATGCCATTATATTTTATTGCAGATTTCCTCCCACCCTTCTAAAAAAATTTCTAAATGACAGTTTTAAGATGGCCTTTACCTCAAAACACAAGTTTTCCTGAGTTATGCTCAAGATTTAAGCAGGGGCTGCAGGGATCTTTCTACATTTTTTTCTATGAAAAATATCTATGCAAATTATTCTCTTGAATTTTTTTTTTTAACAGTAAATAAGAACAACTTAGAGGAGGAAGTGACCGTTTAAACTTTACTCCCTCCCCCGAGTGAAATGTAAAATTGAGCCACTACATAAAAATGGAAAAGTAGCCCAGATTTTACTAACCTAGTACTAAGCAAATAAATAATCCATGTGGTTAGTCTATATTTAAAATATTTGTTCTTCTTTAAATATAAAGTAACTTTCACAGAAACAAACAGAAGTGGCTAGAGACTGAAATCATTCCTTTGATATTGAAGCTGAGTATTTTCTCGTTTAAGCTCCAAACATCATCTCCCTCGTGCCCACAGGGCTTTGCACTGTGCTCAAGCACTCCACCTCGCTAATTTGCTGCTCCCCTCCACTGCTGAGCTCAGATGCTGGTGTACGAAAGGGTGGTTACAAGCTGAGGTACCACAAGATTTTAGGAGCTTATCTTTATTCATTAATTGTTCTGTATCACGCTTAAATGGTGGATTTCTCAAGTTTAGCTATATTTCTTCTAATACTTTTAGTTTGGTCTGTTATCGCAGGTACCATCTATGTAATGTTGAGAGCAAATACAGTTTGAAATAGGACTGCCATAGCAGCTATAGAACATCTAAAAGGGAAAAAAAAAATAGGCCAGACCTTTATTAAATTTTAAAGTATGCCTTCGCTACACTCTTCTAAAGATCCAAATAGGGTATTCAAATCTCTAGAGATCACCAGTATAATTTCTTTATCATGTTCCATTTAAAATTTAATTATGTAGTCTACAACAAGAAGTATCTGAGTACTCTAAATAGGTCATGCAATGAACAACTTAATATTACTATAAAGTTTTCCTTGTGAAGATTTGTTCTTTGATGTGCTGTTGCACACAGAAAGCCCTTCTTCGAAAAAAACAATATACATTCATAGATATAATAATGTCATTTAATATAAAAATTGTAAAGCTTCTTTATCATATTTTAAGTTTAAATTTTCAATTCCTTCTCTAGCCTGAGCTTCCCCAAATCATCAGAAATAAGTGGTAAATTAGAACTGACACAATATAATCGTGCTGAATATTTTTATATCTTTCTACAGGCAAAGTCAATCTATTAGCTTTCCTTCTAAATGATGTCCACCAACTCAGATTTTTCTACTTTTGCCTATCAATGATGCATATTCTTCAGTGGCAAGACGTAAGGTAATTTCTTCTTCCTCTTAAAAATAATCATTAGAGATCAATCAGCAGTATTTAATGGAAAATGTCTATATTAAAAAGTCACCATTTACCAAGACACTTTGTTACATTTTCTTTTTTAAAAATGCACATAAGTAACCTCTCTTGGTTACTACAGGAGAAGAGAAAATATTCAAATATTTTGAATATCAAAATATTCTGACTATTTACAGGGCTTTCTGGGAACAAATCCCTAACTTCTCTTCTGCAACTCAGCTGTGTAAAATTCAGAAGGGGTTTTTGGGAATTTTTTTTTTTTTTTAAATGACAACAAAAAATTAATGCCACTGGTGCCTAAATCTTCCTGAAAGTCAGAAAAAAATATTCCAAGTACAGACATATCTGCTCACACTTACATGGCTTGCAACAAAACCCTTTCACCACATTTACAAATGCTTGAAAGGGATTTGATCAACTCTGGCCACAAATATACCCATGAGTCATTATTGCCCCGAGGAAAGGCATCGTGTTTACCTGCACAAATGAGAGTTGTTAGATTTCTAGGATTACGGAGGGCTTTTTGCGCCCCATCGGACAAAATACAACAAGCACAGTAACTATGGGAAAATGGTTATTAGTTTCATCATTTCAGGGTACAACACCTAAAATTTTGTATCCTATAAAGTAGTTGTGGGGTGAAGGTGGAAGAAGATGTGGTGTTGGTGGGGAAATTAGACTGTTTCACCATTATGAATTAATAATAACAAAATGGTTCACGTGAAGTTTGAAAGAAGAACAAAAAATATTAGATTAACACATCACAACACAAGATTAAAAACCCCAAGGAACTGCTTGTTTAGAGAAATGCGGGAACAGGTGAATCCCCGAGAAGGCTGGAGGACTAGCCAACCTGCGCACGGCTGTAAACATTTGTTTTAAATCAAGACAAGATCATTGGTTTTAATATTTATAACACAATTACAATGCCTTGTGCACATTGCTTGTATAATCTGATTTTTACTTGCAACATCGTGCCACAGTTGAAATTAAAGCCTTGTGGTAATAATTCAAAAAACACATTTAAGCAATCATTAATGGCAAGTATGAAACTGGATGTTTATTCAAGCAGCTATATCTCTCATTTTAACTTTAATTTAAAATGGAATTTATTTCTGCAGTACAAGGACTTCATGTTTCCAGTATATTAGTCATATAATACCTAACCAATTAGGGGCATGCAGTCAAATTGGAAATATTTTAGCACTAAAACCAGTAAAAGATACAGCTAAGCGGTGTTATTGACATTCCTAATCAAGGAGACAGCTACTCTGTTGACTCTCTATTTTTTTTGTGTGTGTATGAAGAATTGTAATTCTTTTGCAATGAAGATGAATAAAATCTTTTAAGTGTCAGGTAGGCCTGATCACTGGTCAGTACTTCAAACGCTTGGCAAAATTTCACCAGCATATTTGGTTGCACAACTGAGGATATCAAGTGATGGTAAGTCATAAGAAGAAAGGTATCTAATAAATGAACAACTGATACAAGTTACACAAGTTTGTACCTACAAAACAAGGTGATAGATTACAAAGGGGGAAAACCCATCATATACAGTGAAAATCTACATTTTTACAGCTTAACAACACGGTCAAGCCAACTGATATACACCACACGCACCATAAAGAAAAGTAGACATTTTTTCTCTGCCTTAGAAGCAGGAATAACTTGTGTGTATTACCATGCTTAAAGAAAACGGATTTTCTTGTTGAAATATCCTTTTAACATTATATATTGTGTGAACTACAACATTGGTATTAATTGGAGGATAACAAAACGCCCCAAACCATGATGTCATTAAAAACCCCATGCACCTCAAAGAGCAAAACTGGTGGCAGAAGATGCAAGAAGACAGGGAGCACCAATTTTTGCTCACCAGGCATCTCTGCTAAGTGGCAGATTACCATATCAGATATTTTTGTTTCCCTTCTCTCCACCCTTTTCTCTATCTGCATGATTACAGCAGTTTATTGCATCCTCTGACAATACGTAGGCAGGTCTCTCTTCAAAAACCTCTATCGCGGCCTGGGAGTCTTGTCTAGTTCTATTATTTTATGAAAAGCTTTCTCAGAGTAGAACAATTTGGTCTAAGCCGCTTTCCTGCTTTCCAGATGAAAATGCCTTAAGATCAGAATGTTTTTTCCTCCTACCTCCAAGTTTCCCTCCCCTCATCACTCGGGTGAAATTTAAAGCAAAAGCCAAACCACCTGCAGTGGGTATAATTGCACAGCTGGAAGAAAGCCACATCTGGGATTTTTCTCATCAGGCACACAACTGTGCTAAGCCTCAAAGCACCCTGAACGTGTCGCTTTAAGCTGTGCAGTTTTGGTTGCGCCAGTATTTCACAGTCATTTGTCTGTCTATGGCATGCAGTGTGTGTTCTCCTCTCTGCACCTCCAGTTCTCAATATCCCAGCAGTTTTCCTTAGGGAAAGGATCATGTTCTGGCTCAAAAGGTCGTGCTTCTTTCAGCACCTTCCAGACATTGGTACACAGATGCAATATAGAGCAACTCGCTTACCTTGGTAATGTTCCAGATAACTCTGTGGCAGTTTCTCTGAAAGACACAAAGTGAGGAGAAATTAGCTTGTGTTTAAAGAAGCTATAAAATTTTAAAGATGCTTTTATACTGCTTGTATTTTTCAGGAGTGCAGACACACGTACACAGCTTTATACGCAAATACTTCATTTGCGGATGCGACGTCCGCATGATCATATACACAGGAACATGAAAAACAGATGATGGAGTGTGATCTAAGGATTTCATCAGAATAAAATTCTCAATTGTTCAATTACTCATTTTTTAGGCATAAAATTATCACTATTTTAAATGCCAGCACTGTATGATCCTACATAGCCAAAAAGTAGCACTGGGCCAATTTTCCAGTGGAAAAAGTTCCCTTTTTTCAGTACTGCAGCAAAAGCAAGACATTGGACAGATTTATAACCATGTCATGCACTGAAAAAAATACCATGTTAATGTTAAATCTTCTTATATTGGGTTTTAGGCAACAGTTATTTTCCAAATATGTGATTTTTGATCCAATTTACTTGCTTGGATCTGTTTCGTGGGTTTGCAATTTGTTTGAAGGAAACTGAGTGTGAGATAGTGAAAGTGGGCTAATGTAACCAGTATGTCACATTAAAGCACAATTAAATACATTATCATTGCCTATGTACACAATCCTTAAAATACAACCCAGATCTACCACCACTGTATGACCTTGCTCCCCTCCCCAGCACATTTGCTTAGACCTTATCCAAACATCGGGAAAACAGCTGGATAGCTCCATTTCTCCTTTCTCTCCCATGTATAGGATCTTAAAGAAACCAGCAAGGAGGCATAAAGGGGTTCATTCTCCTCCACTTGACCAGAAGTCCATCTCGTTTCATGCTGTGCTCTGTCCTGTGTTTAAGTTTGCTGCGTGAAAGATAGCTGGTTGGTTCATAACCCAGTTGCTTCAGCTGAGATCCAAATTGCAAAATTTCACATCTGTGGCTTTGAACTTGTGGTATGGGACAATTCTCAACATAATACTCTCTTCTGCTTCTTTATAGCTGAGCAACAGAAAATCCTTCCATCCACTTTTACATACAGGGGGGGAGAAAAAATCTAATCTTTTTTTTGGGGGGGAGTGGTGGCAGTAAAGACAGGTCTCAAAATCTTCCTTGCCTTAACAATTCCCAAAACCATGGATCTAGTGATCATAAGTATGGAACCAAGCCTACACATTTTTCTTGCAAGGGTATAAACCTTATAAACACAGATTGAACCCACAAGCCTAATTTCTTTAGGAATCCAAAGGAAAAAAAGAAGAAAAAAGACAGATATTTTTGAAGGCTCTCGTAGAGCTTTACCATGTTCTGAAGCCGCTTTTTTTGATGGGACAGCTTCAGAGTTGTTATAGTAAAAGCACAATATTTCAGAGCTCTTCTTTAGTTCTAGATCCCCCATGCTTTTTGGCACTATATGAACTACGAGCAGCTACAAGGGTCTTGGTTTTTCAATTATTATTATTTTTTTATTGAACGCCCCGGAGTGACACCCAGGCTTTTTCCTTAATGGTTACACTGGCAACTGGAGACTCCATTACGGTGTCAGAGAAGATAAAATGGTCCCTCTAAACATGCACAGCTTTGCATTTTCGTTGAGTCTCTATGTTCAAGCTGTGCAGTTTGCCGGTCACAGAAGGTTGCCTTAAACCTCCCAGTGTTTTGCTTCAAAAGGCACAGAGCAGAACCGTGTTCAGTGGTTGGAAAGAAGCAGCAAAAAATAAAAAGATGGCTCACGTCCTTTTCTTGCACACACCATTCAGCAACAGACCAACAGATACACAAGTGCTCTCAGAAGAGCCAGTTCCCACCCCAGCAAAGGCAGACAGGTATGTATTTAACAAGCGCCTGTGATGAACAAAGTCCATGGTATAAATGACATCCAAGGTGAGAGCCAGGAGCAAGAGGAAGAGAATGGAAAGAGATAAGAGAATGAAATCAGAGTGGAGCAATACAGACTTGGTTTCTATGGGGGAATTTGATACAGCTGTACATTTGAGATATTTTATTTTCATTAAACTCTTGCACATTGGTATCATACCGCCTTGTTTTCCAGGCCCTACTCATAACTTATACAGTTCAAAGAATTAATATGATATTTTCTGTAACTCATCAAAGAACTGCATCGCTAAATGGTTCCAACAGTCAGGAAATTTTCCCCTTCCACCACTAATCACAGGCATCATCTCCTTTCATTGAAATGCTTTTTTGGGGAAAGAGCCTGGACTAAAAGGTCAGGCTGGGCGTTTGTTTCTTCTTCTAAAGGGACTCCCTAGCCTTTAGCTACCTATTATCACTCTAATAACAGAATATCACAAACCTTCTTGCTTTAGGGTATGGCAGCACATTTTATAAACCAGCAGTTGCTCATCCAGCTTAAAGAGACAACCAGGCAAATCACAGGTGGGTATTGCAGGAAGCCTCAAGCAGCAGAAGCAGCTATGTTTAAAAGAGGATGTTAAGCTGGAAACACGTTGTCAGCTTCTGAGCAGAGCAGTGAGTGATTGGTGCATCTAAATTTCTAAAGATTTTCATTTTTGTTAAATAACCCTCTCTACAAGAGATGCTGGCCTTATGAAAACAATCATTAAATAGTCGATACAGTGGTAAAAAATCTGAATGTGATCAGAATGTTAAACAAAGACACTGCAGGCCTTTATCATATACATTTTTAATGCAATTAATTGTGTTGTCAGTTTCATATTTGGTCAGATCAAATTCCAATTTTAAACAAAAATATGTAAGGTAATGATTTTTGAAATACAGATCAAACTCAAATAAAACTTTTCAACTCACAAGGAAAAGAGGAGAAGTCTGATTACTTCCCAACTGTCCAAAGATTTCATTGTTTCTCATCAACTCAGTAAACATTTAAACCATAAAAAAAAAAAAACCCTCCTTTAGGTTATTAAACTAAAAATATTATTTTCCTAGAAAACAAACACAATTATCCCTGCATTGTCACTGGAAATAAATGGTACACGGACTGCTGAAGATGGTTAATGTCCACTGTAAGTGTCCTATAAATATCAGGAGTTGAAACACTGCTCTATAAATATATTTCATGGGAGTTTAAAAAAGAAAATCTTATGGAGCAAATTACTCATCAAGAAAACCCTTAAAGTTTATTTAAAGATAATGGATACTCATTCTGCAGTATTTCAAGATATTGAAGCTAGACTTATACAACCGAAGATGGTTAATGTCCACTGTAAGTGTCCTATAAATATCAGGAGTTGAAACACTGCTCTATAAATATATTTCATGGGAGTTTAAAAAAGAAAATCTTATGGAGCAAATTACTCATCAAGAAAACCCTTAAAGTTTATTTAAAGATAATGGATACTCATTCTGCAGTATTTCAAGATATTGAAGCTAGACTTATACAACCAATTTTCAGATCCCTAGTCTTCCCAAATGACACATACAATAAATATAACTCATAATTTACTGTATCTACAGATTTTTTTATTCTTGGATAAAAACAAGAGAAGGATAATACTCAAAGGGAAAATGAATATAAACCCACATATTTTCATGTCCTGCCTATGATATGAAAGGATGACCTTGAAAAAGATTGAAGATGGAAACCTAAATGTTTCGTCAGGGCTGCCCCGAATTCCACTGAAATCGGTGCCAATGCAAATGGGATACGCTAATGCACAGCACCACTAAGGACAGAAGAGGATAAGGCTAAGGACCCTGGAAAAGTTGTTAGGTGGAAGGTGACATTATGAAGTGCAGTCACAGCATTTCCAGGAAGGTCATTTACAATTTCCTAGCATTTTGTGTTCAGCTGTGCAGGATGGATCTGGGGCAGCGTGGTCCGTACATATGGAAGATGAAGGTGCTGTTGAAGCCAGGAGGGTGCTGGGTGGGAGGTCTGCTCTCCAAAATGCTACCCCATCACACGTGGTCTTCCAAAAAAATCAAATTGCAGATTTACAAATTGTTCACTAGAGCTGTGAGGAGCTTTGACCTACTGAAGAGGCTCTGCACCCTCCAGAGAGGACTACGTAGCTGTTCTCAAAACCCAGCGTGGGCAAACCAACCACCACACACACATCTTGTCATTTCTCTCTACAGGCTGAGAAATCCTTCCCGTAGGATTGGAGTAGGATGTGTACCAAAGCAGAAAAGTATAAATATTTTAGTCAAAACCTTATAGTGAAGTGGAAGTGGGAAGATCTGCATAAAGATCAGCAAACTGACTTTACTGCCTATTAGTTTTGTTTGAAGAAAGTTGTTCAGGAAAACTCTTCAGAATATTTGGGAAGTGTTGTGTTTGTATTAAATGTTTTGTTCACTGAGAAATCATATGGTGCTCTTTTCTCAGAGGCTGACTGGCAGCTGTTGTTACCCACCTGTGTGCAGGGTTTGGCACAACACAGCTCTGAGGTTTAACTGTGCCACGTTTTTGTCCGGTTTAATACTCTACGTTGTGCTTCTGCAGACATGTAAACTGAGGCACAAGAGACAGGGCAAGGGTTTAAAGGGCAACTGAGGTAATCTTGTGTATATTCTGCTAAATGCATGCCAGGAAACTTAGCAAGTACTGAGTTCAAACCATGCGAGTCAAGACTATGCTTAGAAACAATTTTTTCTTCTGCAGGATCATGACCCTTAGTGATTTGGAAAGCCTTAGGTCTCCATCAAGAACAACTTTTGCTGTGAAAAGGAAAGCATATGGATTCAAACTAAGCAATCTGTCGGGGTGCTGAGGAAGATGCAAAACGAAAGGCAGCAACACATTCCTGCAATCGTGTCACCGTTCTTCCTTTTTCCATCTCACACTTTGGGGAGAGGATAAAGCCTGCCTACAGCGCACGAGGCACATGAGGATAAGGACATAAGGATAAGGGCGAAGCTGAAGAAGGGATCTGTATGGTGCGCTATTAAGAAAGCAGCACAAATGCAAGCAGAAATCCCCCAGATGCAGAATACGGGAGTCTCCCAACTTGTGAAGAGAAGTGTCCACAGCCTGAGGTCATGGTTGTAGGCATC